AAAATAGATCTTTGTAAAAATAAAGAGTGAGAATAGGAGAGAGAGGAGGAATAAGGGTGGGAGTGTGGGCGGGAGCGAGGGTAGGGTGGGAAGAGTTACTATTTTCCTGAATTTGTATATATGAAATGTATGTTTATATACCTTAAATAAAATATAAAATTGCTATTTTATTTCAAATGCTATGTCAGAGCAGGTTAAATGCAATTACTTTTGTTATTTCCAGTCTGACCTGTTTGTAGATGCCTGTCAGCCAGAGGAATACTTACCTTTCCCCAAACTTAGTATGTTATCATGCCTATCAATGTCGCTAGAATTCTGTTACTTTCTAGAAAATAATATTTATATATATTAATGCCCTCAGCTTCCCTTCCATATCCCACACCTTGCCTAGTTACCTTCTTCTTCAAGGCACCACGTCAGTGACTAGGTTGAAAAATACCTTTCTGATATTTTCATTGATGTTAATGCCATCAATTAATACAACTCCAGAGGTGGTAGTCTGTTCTCCAGTCAACATTTTGAATGTAGTAGTTTTCCCAGCTCCATTTAAGCCAAATATTCCAAAGCATTCTGACTTGTTGACTACAAGGGAGATATTTCTTACTGCCTGCACAGCGGGACACTTAAAATAAACCTGAGGAAAAAACACATGCACAATGTACAGAAGCACTGATTATGGGTGGTCAGCCACAAAGATAACCTAAGACCTGATAGATTGCTACCTGTGGACAATTTCACAAATCAGCCCTCTATTTTACCAGAACATATATAGAACCTGTAGAACTCCAATTGAACTACTAGTACCAACAATAAATTCTTGGCAAGGATAACAGGTAAAGCTCAGGGCAATGATGATCACTTCACCTTCTTAAGTTCTTGAAGAAGCAGAGGGCTTTCCTCCAACGTTTGAAGCATTTTCTGTGCTCTGTTTCTTTCATTTTTTACATCTTCATCCTCACAGTCTTCTATTACTTGGTTGGACACTGTAGCCTATATTTTCAAGACAAGGATTACTGATATGGGTACTCTTTAAATATATCACTTAAACTTAGTAGCTTTAGGAAAAGTGATATGAGAATGTAATCTCACAGGAGTCAGAAAATGTTAGTAATTTCTAAGATCCTTCTTACTAATTTCCTGAACTCAAGCACAAATATATTCTTGGCTTATTTACTTTTGGAAACGATAATCATGAACAGCTTTCTACAGCTATGAGTAGGCAGTATGTTCTTGCCAATAACATAGACATTTCATGGAAAATAGAAGCCATGCTGATAATATTATTGTTTAATGTGATTTTTTATAAATAATATGCAAGAGAGGAGAGAATGAACCTCAACTTTTTTTTTCCCTCTGAGGGATGGCCTCTTTATAGGTAAAGTATGAGATGAAAAAATTTTACTTAGAGAAGGAAGGTAGGGTTATGTAAGAAAAACTGCATGTAAAAGCCACATAAAAAGAAAAGTCTGCAGTGGGGGCTTAGAGAAAAACACACAGGAGTAAAACAATATAGCATGTTCTATAAGCAGTAATTTCTACTGCCTGGGCAAAATCTTGCCCATGTCTGCATCAAGTACAATATTAGTTAAGGAGGACTGAAGCAGGAGAATACGTTCACTACAGTGAACCTGCTAACGAAGAGATCCACCTTATGGTATAGAGTTGCACAGGAGTGGTGAAAATGGACATTCTTACACTGTTTTCAATTTTAGCAGAAAAACATCTGATCTTTAACCACTATTTTAGCTGTTGGCATTATGTAGATGCCATTTATCAGATTGAGATAGTTCCTTTCTTTTCAATTATGCTATTCTTTTGGTAACTGGATGTTGAATGTTATTAAATGCCTTTCCTGAAATAATTGGTATGATCATACAGTTTTGTCCTTGATATTATGAATACTGTGGATTACACTGATTTCATTTTCAAAGATTAAACCAACCTTACCTTTGTGGAACTGAACCCCATTTGTTCAGAGTATATTATTCCTTTCATATTCATATATTACTAGATGGCATCTGTGACTATTTTGTTAAGAATATGTTTTCATGGAGGAGACTGATTTCTTGTATTTTCTTCCTTTAGTTTTGGTACCAGGGTAATTATGAACTCATAATGAAGTTACCAAATTCCCCTTACTCTTTCACTTTCCAGAAGAAATCGAGTGGAAATGATGCTATCTCCTTTGTAACTGTATAGTGGAATTCACCAGGGAAATTATTCAGAAATTATAATTTCTTTTTCAAAAGATTTGAAAACATGCATTAAATCTCTTTAACTGAAGCAGGATGATTGAGTTAATTTTTAAATATATATTTTTCTTTTCATTTGAAAGGTAGAGACAGCGGGGCCAGGGGGTGGATAGAGAGATAGAGAAAATCTCTCATCTGGGGGCTCAATCCTCAAATGCTTACAACAGGGGCTGGTGTTGTGGCATGGCAGGTTAAGCTGCCACTTGCAGTGCCAGCATGTCTTATCAGAGTGCCAGTTTAAGTGCCGGTAGCTCCATTTCCACTAATATGGAGGATTGCTCAAGTGCTTGGGCCCTTGACACTCATATGCAAGACCAGGATGAAGTTCCTGGCTCTTGATTTTGGCCTGGCCAATTGCAGAATGAACCAGCAAATGGAAGATCTCTCTCCTCTGTCTTTCCCTCTCTTTTCTGTTGCTCTGCTTTTCAAATCAATCATTTTTTTTCTTATTTTCAAAGCAGTATTTTTTAAAAAGAATTATTAATTTATTTGAAAGGCAGAATTACACATGGAAACATAGAGAGATCTTTTGTCCACTGGTTTATTCACTAGATGCCTGTGATGTCTGGGGCCGGTTCAGGCAGAAGCCAGGAGCATGGAACTTCATCTCAATATTCTACCCTCTGAAACATTAAGAGATATGTAACTTCTCAGAGGTTTATATCCAAGATCCGAGTCATCCTGGACTATCATTCAGTGGGATGAACGAGAAGTTATAATGGGACAGGTAATAATAGTTCTCTGCTTCAAGAGATGTTCAGACATAGATCCACAGAGGTCCAATTACAGAATGAATAGGTCACTAAAAGTTCAAGGCAGGGGCTGGTATTATGGCGCAGTGACACCAGCAACCCATATCAGACTCCTGGCTATTCAGCTTTGGATCCAGCTTCCTGTGAATCCATGTGAGAAGGCAGCAGATGATGGCTCAAGTGCTTGAGCTCCTGCCACCCATGTGTGAGACCAGAATGAAGTTCTTGGTTCCTGGCTATGGCCTGGCCCAGCCTGGCTTTTGTGGGCCTTTGGTGTGTAAATCAGAAGATGGATGATCTCTCCTTATTCTCCTTCTCCCTCCCTCTTCCTCTCCCTGTCTCTCATTCATTCAAAAAAATTTTTTTAGATTTATTTATTTATTTGAAAGTCAGAGTTACAATGAGAGAAGGAGAGGCAGAGAGAGAGAGAGGTCTTCCATCCGCTGGTTCAACTCCCCAAATAGCCACAATGGCCAGAGCTGAGCCATTCTGAAGCCGGGAGCCAGGAGCCTCTTCTGGGTCTCCCACGTGGGTGCAGGGACCCAAGACCTGGGCTATCTTCCACTGCCCTCCCAGGCCACAGCAGAGAGCTGGATTGGATGTGGAGTAGCTGGGACTCGAACTGGTGCCCATATGGGATGACGGCACTGCAGGCTGCGGCTTTACCCGCTATGCTACAGCGCCAGCCCCTCAAAAAATATTAAAAAAAAAATAAAGTTAGAGGCAAACCCTTGATATTATGTGAAGTCATGAGAGCTATATAAAGAAATGACTACTAATCTTTCTGTTAGAGGCCATGAAACTCAACTTTCTACATAGTTTTAAAGAAGCCAAATTCACAATACAATGAGATAGATATCAAGGGCAGTGCATGAATAAGACAAGGTGACTTCTTTCACAGTTAATCCATGACAAATGGATATTTCCTTGCAGAAAAAGATTCAAAGTTTAGCACCCTGACACTCAAACGAAGAAAAAAAACTTATAATTCAAAAAGTCCCAGCTAAGTTTTAGAATAATTTAGTAATTTTCTATTAAGTAATGGAGGTATGCACTTGTAAATCCATATCCTGTGGCCTAATATTGAGCTTTCTTTGAGTTATCTGAAATCCACATTAGTTACTCACCTTTCTTTTCATGATTTTCTTATAGACATTAGATACAATGTTATGAAATATAAAATTTTTCAGGCTCCATAATGCAGTCTCCAGAGATAAAAGCAAGAGGAGAAAAAGTAATCCCATGACAGCCAATGTAATCAAGAACTTTGCAATCCCATGTTCTCCAAAACTATAGACATTGTTCTGAACAACTGAGGATGATAAAAAGATAACCTTACTTTAATCACTGATCTCTAAGATGAAACCATATATTAAAATATACAGGATGACAAAATGAGTTTAAAGTTATATTTAGGGAAGTATAGAATATAAGAAACAAGTAAGGCTATTGATATGCTGTTTGATTTTCCCTGACAGTTTGATTATTAAAGTTCTTTAGTTACTCATCTTTCTTCTGGTTATTATCAGTTTCTGATAGGAGACAATCTTACCATGTATTCAATGAATTCCAAAGGCAGAGCCTGTGTGAACAGAGTATTAAATAATTGAATAAGGCATATAAAATAAAGGTATCTCTAGAGGCCATGCAAAATATCCTTAAAAACTTTTGAAGATTATTTTATTCCATAAATATGAAAAAACTTTAACGTAGCATACTCATAAGGAAGAACACAGGTAATTTAAAATTTAAGAGGGCTATAGCTGAAGTTTTTGACTTTACTACAGAGAAAATTAGCTAATACAAACAGCTGAACTCTAGATGTGAAAACAGGAGGCATCTCTGAGATGCGAAGATAATAAAATCATTCACGGGCCGGCGCCACGGCTCACTAGGCTAATCCTCCACCTAGCAGCGCCGGCACACTGGGTTCTAGTCCCGGTCGGGGCACCGGATTCTGTCCCGGTTGTCCCTCTTCCAGGCCAGCTCTCTGCTGTGGCCCGGGAAGGCAGTGGAGGATGGCCCAAGTGCTTGGGCCCTGCACCCCATGGGAGACCAGGAGAAGCACCTGGCTCCTGCTTTCGGATAGGCGCAGTGTGCCAGCCGCGGTGGCCATTGGAGGGTGAACCAACAGCAAAAGGAAGACCTTTCTCTCTGTCTCTCACTGTCCACTCTGCCTGTAAAAATAAATAAATAAATAAAATCATTCACTTTTTATAAGAATTATATTTCCTGTCAAATTTATGCTTACAGGCAGGAATGCAATATTTGTTTTATTGTAACAAATATTTACATTTTAAAACATGGGATTTACTTTTTTAAAATGTATAGTTAAGTGACATTTTAACACTTTTTTTTTTTATTTATTTTTGACAGGCAGAGTGGACAGTGAGAGAGAGAGACAGAGAGAAAGGTCTTCCTTTGCCGTTGGTTCACCCTCCAATGGCCGCCGCGGCCGGCGCGCTGCGGCCGGCGCACTGCGCTGATCCGATGGCAGGAGCCAGGAGCCAGGTGCTTTTCCTGGTCTCCCATGGGGTGCAGGGCCCAAGCACCTGGGCCATCCTCCACTGCACTCCCTGGCCACAGCAGAGGGCTGGCCTGGAAGAGGGGCAACCGGGACAGAATCCGGCGCCCCGACCGGGACTAGAACCCGGTGTGCCGGCGCCGCTAGGCGGAGGATTAGCCTAGTGAGCCGCGGCGCCGGCCTAAAATGTATAGTTAAGTGACATTTACAATATTGTGTACTTATCACTACTATCTTGAACATTTTCATCACTCTAGAAGAAAATTCAATACCTATGGGCCAGAGTTGTGGTGCAGCAGGTTAAGCTGTTGCCTGTGATGTTGGCATCCCAAATGGATGCTGGTTTGTGTCCTGGCTGTTCTACTTCTGATGTAGTTCCCTGCTGATGTGCCTGGGAAGGCAGTGGAAGATGGCCCCAGTGCTTGGGACCCTGCCATTCATATGAGCCTCGATGGAGTTCCTGGATGCTAGTTTTGGTCTGGCCCAGTTCCATCCATTACTGCCATTTGGGGAGTGAACCAGTGGATGAAAGCTTGCCCTCCCTCTCTCTCTCTATAATTCTTATAATTAAATAAATAAATCTTAAAAAAATCTAAAACCTAGTTAGCATATACCACTATCCTCTTCCTCTAGCCTACTGTCAATCATTAATCTGCTTTCTAACTCTGTGCATTTGCCTATTTGGTACATTCTATATAAATGAAATAACATGTGGTCTTTGGTATCTAGCCTGTTTCTCTTAATATAATGTTTCCAAGGCTCATCCACATTGTAGCATGTATCAGTAATTCATTTCCTTTTATTTGTGAGTAATATTCTCCTATATGGCTATATCACTTTTTTATATATTTGTCAGTGGGTGGATATCTAGATTGCTTCTACTTTTTGGCTACTGTAATGTTGCTATGAACAGTTGTGTTCAAGTTTTTGTGTGAATTTTTGGGCATATAATTAGGACTTGAATTGTTGAGTGATACCACAATCCTCTTTTTAAAGAACTGCCAAACTGTTTCCCACAGCAGTTGCAACATTCACCATTCCTGCAGCAATGTATGAGGGTACTGATTTCTTCATTACTCACCAAGTGTCAATATTTCCCTTTTGTGATTATAGCCATTCAAGTGGGTGGGAAGTGATGTCTCATTTATGATTTTGATTTGCATTTTAAAAGATTTATTTATTAATTTGAGAGGCAGAGTTACAGACAGAGAGAGTGAGAGACACACATAGAGAGGTCTTCCATTCACTGGTTCACTCCCCAAATGACTGCAACTGCCAGAGCGGGGCCAATCCAAAGCCAGGAGCCAGGAGCTTCATCCAGGTTTCCCACATGGGTATAGAGGTCCAAGCTCTTGGGCTATCCTCTGCTGTTTTCCCAGGCCATTAGTAGAGAGCTGGATTGGAAGTGGAACAGCTAGGACTTGAACCAGTGCCCCTATGGGATGCTGGCACTACAAGAGGAGGCCTAACCTACTATGCTATAGTGCTGACCCTAAGGACTAATTATTCTGAGCATCTTTTCACATGCTTGCAGGTCACTTTATATTCTCTTTGGAATTGTATCAAGTTCTTTGTCCATTGTAAAACTAAGTTGTTAGTATTTTTGTTTTTATTTTATACATCCTGGACAATAGTCTCTTAGAGATGTAGTTTGCAAATATTTTCTCTCATTCTATGGGTTGTCCTTTCATTTTTTTGATAGTGTCTTTGAAGCACAAATGTTTTTAATTTTAATGATGTGTATTTATCTTTTTTTTTTTTTCCTATTATGTGCTTCTGGTGTCACATCTGCTAAACCACTGACAAATCCTAGGTCATAAAGGCTTACCATTATATTTTATTGTACGAGTTTAATACTGCTAGATATTAATTTAAGTATTTGGTACATTTTGTAATGTGGTGTGAGGTAAAAGTCCAACTTCATTCTTTTCCATCTGGCTAGCAGTTTTTTTCAGCACTATTTGTTAAAAAGACAGACTTCTTTCCCTAAAGAATGGCCTTGGCACTTTTGTTGAAATTTAGTTGACCACACGTACATGATTTTATTTCTGGACTCTCAAATATGTTCCAATGTGTCATTAACACATTGTTATGGTTACTGTGGCTTTGTAGTATTAAAATGAGGAAGAGAGATCATCTAACTTTCTTCTTTTTATTTTTTTTAAAAGATTTATTTATTTATTTGAAAGTTAGAGTTACACAGAGAGAGGAGAGGCGGGGTGGGGGGTGGTTTTTCCATCTGATAGTTCACTCCCCACTTGGCCGCAACGGCCAGAGCTGTGCTGATCCGAAGCTAGGAGCCAGGAGCTTCTTCCTGGTCTTCCACGCAGGTGCAGGGGTCCAAGGACTTGTGCCATTTTCTACTAATATCCCAGGCCATAGCAGAGAGCTGGATTGGAAATGGAGCAGCTGGGACTCAAACTGGCACCCATATGGGATGCCAGTGGTTCAGGCCAGGGCATTAACCTGGCTGTGCCAGCCCCCTAGCTTTCTTCTTTTTCGATACTGTTTTGGCTAATTGGGATCTGCTTGCAATTCACATATACCTTAAGGTATGTTTTCAATTTCTATAAAAGAAAAAGTCTATTGTAATTTTGATAGGAATTGCATTGTAGATTGCTTTGGGCAGTATTGTGACATTATTTTATTTTTCTTTTTTAAAGATTTATTTATTTGAGTTACAGATAGAGGGAGAGAGAGAGATTGAGAGATTTTTCCATTCACTGGTTCATTCCCCAAATGGCCACATTGGCTGCAGCTGGGCCAGTCTTAAGCCAAGAGCCAGGAGTTTCCTCCAGGTATCCCATGTGGGTGCAGGAGCCCACACATTGGGCTGGCCATCTACCACTGCTTTCCCAAGCCTTTAGCAGGGTGCTGGATTGGAAGTAGCAGCCAAGGCTCGAACCAGCATCCACATGGAATGCTGGCACTGCAGGCGGAGGCTTAACCTACTATGCCACAGCACCGGCCCCAAAGTTTTCTGCTCTATGAGCATGGGATGTCTTTCCTTTATATCTTTTAACATTTCTTTCTTTTTAAATTTCATTAGTATGTCTTAGTTTTCAGTGTATAAGTCCTTCACTTCTTTGGCAAAATTTATTCCAAAGTAAACACTTTTTTGATGTTATTCTAAATGAAATTATTTTTTGTATTACCTTTTTGGGTTGTTTATTGGCTAGTACAGGAATTCAACAATGTTTTGTGTCTGTGTTTTTTTTTTTTTTTTAATTAGCTTAGTTTTTTGTGTGGACCATTTGGGATATTCTACATATCACAGTGTCTGTAAATGTAGTTTTCCTTCAAACTGAATATTATTTCTTCTTCTTGCCTACTTTGTAATATGAAATAGGTATTCTTATCCTATTCCTGAAATTAATGGGATAGCTTTCATGTAATGTAAAGTGGACTTTTATAAATTCATAACTGTGAATTTTTATAAGTATTCAATGTGTTGAATATCTGTCTTTTATTTTGAATTTGTTGATTTTTAAATGATATGATATTGACTTTATCAAACACATTTTTGTATCAATAGACACATTTGTGTGTTTTACCGTAACGTAGTGTGTAACTGATTGACATGTTGAACTCCCTTGGGTTAAATTTTGCCTTGTCATGGTGTATAATACTTCCATGTGTTACTGGATTTGGTTTAATCTGGTAATATTTTGTTGAGGGTTTCTACACCTATGCTAAGAGATATTGGTCCAGAGTTTCCCTTCCTTGTGACATCTTGTCTGCTGTTGGAATCAGGGTAATGTGAGCCTCCTAGAATGATTTAGAAACATTTGTAAAGGGATGACATGGATTATTCTTTTAATATATGGTAGAATTTGCCAGTGAAGCCATCTGATCCTGGCTTTTTCTTTGTCAAGAGTTTTTTGATTACTGATTTAACAATAGTATTTACTTGTTTATTAAGAAACTCTTTCTGCTTCAGTTTTGGTAGAATTGTGTTTCTAAAACTTTGTACATTAACTGATAATAGCATTATTTTACAATTGTTTTTATTTCTGTAAGGTTGTTAGCATCTCCAATTTCATCTGTGATTTTAGCAATTTGAATCCTCTCTCTTTCTAATTTATTTTATCTTTTCAAAGAATAAAGTCTTGGGTTCATTCATTTTCTCTTTTGTTTTCCAATTGGCACATCTCTGCAGGTTGATCAGTTACATCATTACATTCTCTACCTAAATTCTACAGGCTTATTTTTGGGTAGCAAATGATAAACTGATCTTGTAGAAAAATTCAAGGGATCCAGAATAGCTGAAACAAATTTGAGAAAGAACAAAGACAGAGAACTTTCATTTCTCAATCTCAAAATTTCCTACAATGCAAATATAATAAAATTAATGTTATATTAGCATAGGATAGAAATACTGGTCAAAGGAACAGAATTTGTACTCCAGCAATAAACTCCTACTCTTATGGTCAATTCATTTTGATCAAAGGTGCCAAGGAGCTTCAAATATTCTTTTCAACAAATTATGCTAGGACAAATTGTATCATGACCTAAATGTAGAGGTAAAATTATTAAATATCAAGAAGATGACAATGGAGGAAATTTTCATGACCCTGAATTGGACATACTTTGAAGACCCAATACAAAAAACTCTATATAAGAAAAAATTGATAAACCAGAATTCTTCAACATTCAAAATTTTTATAAATCAGAGGACACTTAAAGAAACCATTAGCAACTTTTGTGTAAACAAATGTCTGTACACCTATGGATAAGTTAAATGTAATATATTCATACAATGTAATATAATTCAGTAACCAAAAAGTATTTAGTACTAACATACTATACTCTGGGTAAATCTCAAAAACATTATAAATGAAAGAAACCAGATACAAAATGATTTTATTTATAAGAAATACCCAGAAATATAAAATCTATATAGGTAGCAGAAATATTAGTAGATGTGTGGGCAGGGTATGATAATAGATTAACTATAAGCAGGCAGCAGTGATGTTTGTTAGAAAATGGAAATATTCTAACACTGGCCTGTGATAATGACTATACAACATTATAAATTTACTAAAAATAATACATAAATTATAACTGGTGACTATGATATATAAATAATAATTCAACACAGTTGTTTTAAAAAAGCAGAGAGAAAAACTTATGATCCAAAAATATGGACTACAAAAGGTGATAAAATCTGTTATTCAGAGATTCTAAGAAAATATAATTCATTTTATTAATAGTTATATCTCATCCTACACTAATTTAGTGAAATACATTACATTTCTCTCTCTGGGGCCCACAGAAGTAATGTGGCTCCAGGAAGACTTAAACACTCACATACACACAGTGAATATACTTATTTCTCAGTTTTTAGAATTAATCAGAAATATGAATTCTGCCAAAAACATAGAAAACATATTAGCACGTCTTTATTTTTCCAATTTTGATCTGGTTGTGATTTTAAGTATTTTAAAGGTTAGTGTCTGCGGGAATATACTTAATGTTCTGTTTAAGTAAGAAGTTGAGTTTCTTCGTTTGTTAAATAAGGATAGTAATAACTAACTTGTAGATGTGGTGTGAGGATTCAAAATACTGTGTACAAAACTATTTGCACATTGTAGGTGGATACCTAGTGCCAACTCATCCTAAATCTGGAGGTGACAATGAAATTTACCTTGGATTTTATTTTGAGTTTTCATTTTCCCCTCAGCATCTTGTCTCCGCTGGAGCGAGGACAGATTTCACTTATCCTTCACACTCTGAACTTGAGTTCAGCAGGCTGGAAAGGAGTGCAGTGTTTTGGAGGACCCGAGGAGCTGGGATACTCACATGGTTTACTGCAGTCTAGGTAGACACTTTGAAATTGCTTGGCACACAGTTTTTTCACTTCATAGTCATCAAAGAATCTGCTGATACTCATTGCAAAGTTGTAAGTAGGAAGCACCATCAGTACATTATTTACAAAGTTTCTGGTGGAGATGTGAAAGTCAGTCTCTGTGAATAAAAAGATAGATTATTTTCAATTAAATGAAAGTATGGGACCTCCCAAAACAATAAACTCCCTCCAAATGGTTAAACTGTTCAGAGAGTTGCCAGTCTAGTGAATGATCCTAAAGTTGTTCACCTTGATAACTTGTGGTATGGGTTTGTCAATTTACAGAGTTCAAAAGAGAAGCCTTTTCTAACAACATTCCACAGGATCTGTTTTCCTCCCTTGTTTTATCTCTCTTCTTCCTTCCCTCCCCCTTTCTATCCTTCCTCCCCTCTCTTTCCTTCCTCCCTCCCTTTTCCCATTTCCCTCTCTCTCCCACTTCTATTTCTCACATATCCCCTTAATAAAAAAATACTGATTTCCAAAAAGTATAGGTTTTCAGATTGCTTTATATTTTTAATCTTAGGCCCTTCATCCTAATTTATTTAAGTTATTTCCCGGAAAAGGGAGAACTGTGTGTTCTTACCATGGTGTTTTATTATACTGTGAATGACGATACTGAAAATGGTTGAAAAGTAGTTAAACAAAGTAAGCTTGATGTAGGCAGCTGTACTATTAGAAAACAGGAAGCTTCCAAGATACATGAAAGGAACAACACACCAGCCGTACAGCATAAGGATCAACAGTGTGTCTAGAAAGTGGTAATTCACAACAAATGCTTCCACTTCACAGAGTGTGAATACTCCCTGGGTTACAGAGCATAAAGGCAAAAGCAAAGTCAAAGACAGTGTGCAACATCAAGACAGAACACTCAGTCAGGAGAAATACTTCATTAGAACACAGGAAAATTCATAACTTACATCATTTTATTCATGTTTTTAAACCATCTTAGTTTATGAACATGAAGTGAGCTAACTCATTTCTTCCTTAACAGAGAATATTCCAGTCAGCAGAATGACTATATTTTCATTTTTTCTCTTTGCTACAGTCTTTATTTTATTATTATTATTTTTATTATTATTTTTTCCTCCTAATCAAAGTCAAATAAATTATGCTTGCATTAAGTCAAACTTTCAATTTTCCTAGAAAAAATGACTTAGAAAGTAAATGATTCAAAGTTTTCTTTTTGGCTGCTTCATCACTTCTGTCACTTAAGACTGCATTCTGGTCTGTGATCTGAGATTGTATCAATATCTCAGGGCCTTGATTCTCTATTTTCTTTATTCCATTTGAGAATTAGGGGAGCACAAATTTAGAGTGGCTATATTAAGAAGAGGGAAACTCTAGAGTGATTAAAGAAAATGATTTTCCAAAAATCTTTATGATACTAGTTGATAATTACAGTTTCCCCAAAGATAGCAAGGTTGAACAACAAAGTAATTACTTAGCAGGTTCACTAATAAAAGGAAAGGGTTAAACTAAGAAAACCTTGTTGAGAAGTTTACAAGATCCTTGGAAATAGCCTTAAAGGAAGCATATGAAGATAATAGTGACCATAGGCGAAAAAAAAAAAACAAAACTTTACAGCTACAATTGTAGTCTGATTCCCCTTACACCAACTAAGAGGAAATTACACACTTAGTCAGAAATAAATGATGGGCAACCTAGGAGCACCCTAGTTCCAAGCCTATTTCAAAGAAAATTTAGCCGGCACCATGGCTCAATAGGCTAATCCTCCACCTTGCGGCACCAGCACACCAGGTTCTAGTCCCAGTCAGGGCACCAGATTCTGTCCCGGTTGCCCCTCTTCCAGGCCAGCTCTCTGCTGTGGCCCGGGAGTGCAGTGGAGGATGGCACAAGTGCTTGGGCCCTGCACCTGCATGGGAGACCAGGAGAAGCACCTGGCTCCTGCCTTCGGATCAGCGTGGTGCGCCGGCCGCAGCGTGCCAGCCGTGGCGGCCATTGGAGGGTGAACCAATGGCAAAAGGAAGACCTTTCTCTCTGTCTCTCTCTCTCACTATCCACTCTGTCAAAAAAAATTTTTTTTAGATCTCTACTTGGGGAAATGAAGAGACATACACTGTTATTAGAAAGGGTCTGACTTAATATGGACAAAATGTAAATAGGAACAGGGTTTTTTGAGAAATAAGATAAGCTGATTCTAAAGTTTACTTGTAAACAAATATGTTAATATAAACAGGACATTATGCGGAAGAGAATGAGGGAATTGAGAAACCTTAACCATAAATATATAACTAAATTTATCATTAAACTACCATAATTAAAACAGATTGATAAGTAGCATATTATAGATATACTAACGGAACAGAATAAACAATATAAAATACACTGAACGCATACTGTTAGTTCAGATACAATAAAAGCAGTGTTTCAACTCCGTGGAAAATAATGTGTTTTTAAAAAGATGTTAGAAAACTAGGTTAGTTCTTTAGGAAAAAAATGTGAATCACTGCTTGGCTCCTTACCTGAAAATAAGTTCATGAATAAGGGGAAATGGAAAAACATGAAACTGGTAAAGTAAGCTGTGACTGATGTATTGTAACCTGATGACTTTCTAGAACTAAACTGTACAATGAGAACAGCTTGATTTTGAGGAATATTTCCAAATTAATATTGAATTAGCTGTCCAATCCTTTGGTTAGGACAGTAATTTTAACACTGACTAGAATTTAAGCTTATCAAAAGACAAGCCTTGTCTGTTTTCCACGTTATATTCATAATGCTAGCATGAGCTCAATGTTTATTGAATATATAACTGACTTTTCTATGTTCAGGAAAGCAGCCTTCCAGATAGAAGGTTCATGTGTCATGAAGAAAGGCTGAATGAGTGGGAAGGCTCACAACTCACTATCACTGGGAACTTTGCTTAAGAGAAACGTTATTTGTTCAGTTTTCCTAAGTCTCATGCATGGATTTCTCTACTGAAGGCAGAGGACCTGACTAAACCCTACTATAAATCTCTTGAGGTGGCAGGTGAAGCAAGTGGTGGGGCAGGGAGTTCATTAGGGATTGGAGGCAGCAGCATACCTAGCTTAGCACTTGTCTCGCCTGCATTGTGAATTTGACAGGTAGAGAAAAGGTGCAACAGTGCCTCTGGTCACTAGCATAATGATGCATTTTTGCTTCTTGCTGGATATAAAAGTCCAGTGGGTGGCATTTCACAGAGCCAGAGCAGGGTAAGGGAGTGTCACATTTAAGACAGTAAGTGAATAGTAAAGTCAGAAAAGCAAGTAAAGCCAAGAAGCCATTTGGAGAACCCAAATCTGAGAATCATGAAGGGGAATCTTGGGTGGAAGACAGAGCTACCAGATCAAAGGACAGAGAAGTTCTTATCAAATTCAGAGTAAGAGTCTTAGAGGAAGTTGAAAATATGAGAGCAGCAATAAGTGGGGGACCCAGCACTGCGGCACAGTGGGTTAACACCCTGGCCTGAAGCGCCGGCATCCCATATGGGCACCGGTTCTAGTCCTGGCTGCTCCTCTGCCAATCCAGCTCTCTAAGGCCTGGGATAGCAGAGGAGGATGGCCCAAGTCCTTGGGCCCCTGCACCCACGTGGGAGACCTGGAAGAAGCTCCTGGCTCCTGGCTTCGGATCAGCACAGCTCTGGCCATTGCGGCCATCTGGGGAGTGAACCATTGGATGGAAGACCTCTCTGCCTCTCCTCTCTCTGTGTAACTCTGACTTTCAAATAAATAAATAAATAAATAAATCTTTAAAAAAAGAAATAAGTGGGAAGTATATCGTCTGAGGTTAACTTTGAGTGTATAAATGAAAGGGGCTTTGGAGAAACCCCCATCACAGTTGTGACACTGTACTAGCCAGGTGAACACAGGTAAATAACTAACTTCTCTGTGCCTTAATCAGTTCCCTTGCTTATAATTTCAGATAATTGTGACATCTGAATGGTGTTCCATAAAAACACAAGATAAGTAACTTTTTGCATGAGCCATAAATATTGGTATAAGCAATATTAGTATAAATATGATTAACTGATGCTTTTACCTCTTTTTTACTCTCCCTATGTAACTATTGAATGAGAAATGAGAGCTACGTATGCCAGCCAAGTTTAAAAGAACCATAGAAACAATGAAACCTTGGAATGGAGAAGAAGACTCACTCAGGGACTGTCTGATTGACTTTAACACTGTACTTGCATGGAGGGGAGATAGTAAAGTAGGAACCATTCATGGGTCAGTCTCCCTAATGCCTATAATGAAATATGTGAAGAGCAGCCCTCTCAAAGAATGGTGGCCTTCCCTTGCCATACTGGTTGACTGGTGGGCTGGGAGCCAAAGGGGCTTGCATCGAGAATACTAGCCACAGCACTGACATGGCAAGACATAGGAACAGCTGCTGTGCACTCTCTAACCCACTCTTAACCTCTGGCTCTCACTGAGCAGCTGTTCTACCTACTGGGATCCTCACTCCATCTCAGAAAAATACTAGGGCAACTATGCAGTAATTACACATTTTACCACGGCTATAGAACCAAATTGATCCTTTTTCCTACCAAAACTAATTTCACAGTTCCACAGAATAGTTTGAATTAGGAATCATAGTTCATTTTTATAATAACAATAAAGCTGTTTTACAATTACCTATTTTTACTTCTGTGTCCATTAGCAAAACAGTGAGCTATTTGAGGCATGAGAACATATATTATAGTATTTATGTTCTCAGTAAAGAACTTTATCTCTTTAACACGTTTATACCTCCCTTAATCAGATAGCTTTTGTGTATCCCTAATTCCCAATATGTATATGAAATTTAGAAAGTTACCACAGCTTAATAATGAGCAAAAACACTGCATTAGAAGATACTGTACAGGGGCCAGCGCCATGGCATAGCAGGTTAATCCTCTGCCTGCCGTGCTGGCATCCCATATGGGTGCCAGTTCAAGTCCCAGTTGCTCCTCTTCCAATCCAGCTCTCTGCTATGGCCTGGGAAAGCAGTAGAAGATGGCCAAGTCCTTGGGCCCCTGTACCCACATGGGAGACAGGGAAGAAGCACCTGGCTTCTGGCTTCAGATTGGCATAGTTCTGGCCATTGTGGCCATTTGGGGAGTGAACCAATGGATGGAAGACCTTTCTCTCTGTCTCTCCTTCTCACTGTCTGCAACTCTACCTCTCAAATAAATAAATAAAATCTTTAAGAAAAAGATATTGTACATCCTTTCAAGCTCATTGTCTCTACCCTTCTCCAATGTCTAACATTTCATCATCATTTAAAAAAAATCATCTATTATTTTTCACTTTATGTTTCTGTGTGGGAGCAAACTGTTGAAATCCTTACTTAAGGTATACTAAGCTGATCTTCTGTATATTAAGATAATCGAAAATGAATCTTGATGTGAATGGAAGGGGAGAGGGAGTGGGAAAGGGGAGGGTTGTGGGTGGGAGGGACGGTATGGGGGGGGAAGCCATTGTAACCTATGAGTCGTACTTTGGAAATTTATATTCATTAAATAAAAGATAAAAAAAAGAATAAATCCTTCATTTATTCAACAAAAAAAAAACATTCATTACTGAATTAAAAGTAATTCTGCTTTGCAAACCTGGCTAGCTATGAGGATATGAAAATGGGTAGGTGAATGTGAATAGCATCAGGAATCCTTATCTAGGTCTTAAACCTTAACTTTGTCACGTTTCAACTTTCCCAGGGGGATCAGCATTGGGAATTAGTGGGTAGTGGTGAGGGACAGATAATAGTCCTTACACTTTCACAGAGTGTTTTCTGCCAATGCAAAATGGTGAGAAAACATAGGAAGCCAATTTAAGACAGATTTTGCAACGAAAAACATTCTTCATGAAAGAGAATGTTTGCATAATGAGGTTTCTACAATATATTCTCTAGTATAACAAGTCAACATAGTTTCAAGTTTTGATGTGTTAACTTTAGGATGCAATTAGTTGAATAGTTTTATTTTTGGCGGGACAACATAAGGAACATGACTCTCCATGAAATTTCAGGTAACACTCACCAGTAGTAAGCAGCAAGGAATGAAGAAACTGATGAGATCCCACAACAAAGCAGAAAGCCAGTAAGTAAGTACATAGACCCCACTCACGAACTGGATGTGCTTTGACTTATTGATTCTCTCAATCACTGTCTGAAGACAAAAGTTACCGACCACAACGGAAATGCCAAAAGCCAAACATAATACTATTTGTAATCCATTTATAGGCCTACAGAAGATGAAATAAAAGTGAAAATGCTGATATCAGTAGATATTTTCAAATGGATTTGTCCAGATAGCAAGGGAACATCTTAAGACTCAATTCCAGTAAAAAGAAAATCATACATACACCATGTTAGAACCATAGATGGGGAGAGGTTGAGGCTTGTTGGAGACTGTAATGGAGGCATTTAAGCCAGAAAGTGACATAAAAAGTATGTTGTCTAATACTGCCAGGGATGTTGCAGCTGAATGGTATGCTTCATTATTGAACAAAATAGTAAGTACTGTTTTATCTTCCTCAACCTTAATGGAGAATGCAATAATGCAGAAGTCATGACACTCTTTACTTTGCATTAAGTAATTATTTACATTACCTAAAATAAAGAAAGAAATCAGTCAATGAGTCAGCATGTAATATATCACCTACTACATATGTTGGAGAGGAAGGATCAAGAACATTTTTGTCACTGCTTTTAAAATTTCCTATATTGGCTATTTCAAATATTTTATCTTTCTACCCCATCACTGATCTCTATAACAATCTCACAGATATAGTCTATAAGCTGATAAAAAAATATTGCTATTTTCCCTGTGAAAGATATGAATTAAACATTAGAATATAAAAAATTATTGCTATTTTCTTATCTAAAACAGACATGTTTTGTTTTGTTTTTAAAATTATTTTGGTTGCTTAGGTCATTTTCATTTCCATATAAATTTTTGGGTCAGTCTGTATGGCACCGAATCTATAAATGTCGGAGGAACTACTATCCTAACAATATTCAGTCTTCTAATCCATGACACAAAATTAACACAAAATGTCTCTCCATGTATAGAGATTTGTTCAATTTTCCTCAACAATATTTTGTGTACAAGTCTTTCATTTCTTTTCTTAAATTCATTCATGTATTCTTCCATTTGATGCTTTTGTAAATTTTTGTCACCTGTGTTTTCTTTCCCCAGGAACTTGTCCATTTCATTTAAGTAGGACTGTATAAAAATCATGACTGAAAACTTTTGGAGTGCTTCTTTCATTTACATTTAATGTAACTATTGATGTGGTAGGATTTATATCTTCCATTTTGCCATTTGGTTTCCATGTGTCTTATTTCCTTTTGGTGCCTGTTTGTTTATCCATGCCTTTTTGTTTTAAATATGTACTTTAGACTTTACTGTTTTAAGTTCTTTGTTGTTGCTGTTTGACTATTTAAAATTTTTATTTATTTGGAATGTGGGTAGAAAGACATCAAACTTCCATCTGTGGGTTCACTCCCTAAGTTCCAGCAATAGCTGGAGCTGGGCCAGCCATCAGCCAGGGGGGCCAGGAACTTTATCTGGGTTTCCCACACCGGTGGCAGGTCCCAAGTACTTGGACCATCATCAGCTGCCACCCTGTGCATCAGAAGAAAGTTGGTTCAGAAGCAGAGGAGCTGGAATTTAAACTGGCTCTCTCATATGGGAACTGGCATCACAAGTGGTGGCTTAACCCACTGGTTGCCATTTTTCCTTTAATTCTTTAAACATATTTCCTTTAGTATTTTGAAAATATTTCTAATAGCTGATAATTTGGTGACCAGCAAAACAATTTCCTTAAATACTTTGAGCCTGAAAATCTTCCATACTTTGCCAAGTAGATCTTTACACGAAGGCAAACCTTCAAATTTCATGCAGTTTACAAGTCAGCTTCAACTTTCACTTTCTGCTTGTACAGTCCTTTTTTTTATGAATTGTTTATTTTATTTGAAAGTCAGAGTTACATACAGAGAGAAGGAGAGGCAGAGAGAGAAAAAGAGAGAGGTCTTTCGTCCATTGGTTCATTCCCCAATTGGCTGCAATCACTGGGGTTGTGCCAATCCGAAGGCAGGAGCCATGAGCTTCTTCTGGGTCTCCCATGCGGGTGCAGGGGCCCAAGTACTTGGACCATCTGCTGCTGCTTTCCCAGACCATAGCAGAGAGCTGGATTGGAAGCGGAGTAGTCAGGACTCGAACTGGCATCCATATTGGATGCTGTATTGGATGCTGGCGCTGCAGATGGTGGTTTTACCTGCTATGCCACAGTGCTGGCCCCTTGTACAGGTCTTTAACTTCGACCAGAGGTGAATGACTCTGAGCTTTCTCCTTCCCCAGTATATTTTTAGCTATGTACACTGCAATTCTAAACCATGTAGACCCCTTACAACATAAGACCTTTTCATTTTTATTTTTTTAAAGAATTATTTTTTATTTATTTGAAAGGCAGAGTTAGAGACAGAGAGAGGTCTTCCATCTGCTGGTTCATTCTCCAAATGGCTGTAATGACTGGGGCTGGGCCAGGTCAAATCCAGGAGTCCAGAGCTTCTTCCACGTTTCCCACGTGGGTGCTGGGCTCAAGGACTTGGGCCATCTTCTACTGCTTTCCCGGGTGCCTCAGCAGGGAGCTGGATTTGGAGTGGTGCAGCCAGGATTGAACTGGAGCCCATGTGGGATGCTGGCACCTCAGGTGCAAGCCTAACCTACTATGCCAGAATGCTGGTTCCAACATAAGACCCTTCAGATGGAATCCTTTTTAACTTTTGGCCAGGCATATATATTTTGCCCAACTGAAATAATAGCTTTAGCCAGGTGTGATGTTACCAGCAGATTGCTTTTGTTTTTAGTAATATTATGGGCACAGAGATTTTTTTTGACAGAGATTTGTTGAAATCCAGTAATAACAATGCCTTAGGAATGGAGTTTACCAGTGGGCTGTTAGTTGACACTGTTTTAGAGATAGGGCTTCCAACAGATCTCCAGAGAGGTCAGTCCTTTCTGTAAACTGCAAGGCTGCTGGCTTTTCATGGATACCTTACCACTGAGTTTAGAAGAAAGGGTGACAGGAATAACTTTCAGTTAAAATGTTGCAGACCTTATTTTAATGAAATTGAATTTTTATTTTAATGAATTCACAGCCAGACCAAATTTATTCAAAGAAAATTAACTTGCAGAGGTCAACCAACTGCCAGTGTGCACACAGACCAATCATGTGGCAGAAGACCCAGAACCCAGCAGGCTGGGCCTTTTTACATCTTAGGTGGGTTGTAAGAACTTTTGAAACATGTTAATTATACATGCCAGCTCACAGAAACTATCTCCATTCAAATTTTTATGTGCATGGTCATCTAGAATTTCACTGCTTCATGTGGAGGAAAATAGATCTAACAAACAGATTAAATATACAGGGTCAAAAACAAAGGACAGAGTCACCATTGGGGGATATAAGGTGCTGTCCAAAGGAGGAAGGAGTTTTCCCATGGAGAGGGAAACAGAAACTGACAGGAGGGGTTTGATAATATTCAGGTGGGCATTAAGGCCTGGCCAGGTATATTGAGGCCCAGTTCTAGCTATCTCTTCACATGTGATACTGGGAGAGACATCATAATGGAGGTGTGAACTTATTGACTTCCATTACCTAGCTGGCCTGGGAGGAGAGCTGGCCTGAATATGTTAGTTTTTAATAGGTAGCTCTGCCTGAAATGTTATTGACCTTAGAGGCTGTCCCCTCAACAGCAGCGGTTACTTTGAAGCTGCGCAGAGTGAAGGGATTTTTCAGTTTAGGGAGGACCAACAGAGTCTGCAGCTCTGACCCAGGGGTCCTTCAAGCCCCAGGGCAGTTCAGTTTCCAGTGGTCTTGCTCTTGGCAGGGAAGACAGGGTTCTTCAGGAGCCGGATTCTGTCACGACAAAATGCTTGAATTTTAAAACTGTTCTGCAACTGTTTTGCTGCTTTCATGGGAGAATGGGTTAATTCCATGTTTTCAGAAGTTCACATCCTACATCTCCGGGTGCTGTGTAATTTGTTACACAGCAATAGATAAATAATAAGCTACTGAAAGGGTTTTTAGCATTAATAGATAATACAAAGAGAATGTATTTTGTATGGTTTTTACTAGCATTATGTATTGAAAATTATAAATTATTTACAGTTATTTATAATATCTTCAAAGATTTAGTTCTAATGAGTGAGCTTACTAAGTCTTCAGCCGCTTGTTTTTAGAATGGCCAAAATAATAAAGGACAGCTTTCAGGTCTTGGAATCAACATTTTACCTGTGAGTTCAGAGAAATATCAGTATTCCGGTTAGAATAAAAGTTCTATGCTGTCACAACAATATAGTATTTTGGTTCTGAAAGGTAATGCAATTAGCCGAAAGACCTCCTACAGTCAAACCATGTCCATTAATTATTGACTTTTGTTGCCAATTATCTTGAATTGTATATTTTTCTTCTGATTTAACTGCCTCTGTAATACTGGTAATTAGTAGGAAAATAAACAAATGAGTAACTAAAAACCAAAGTCCTTTCTTCCAAGATATACAAAATAGTCTTCTTATACCCCTCTATGGATCTTACCTGGTATTTCCCGTAGTTCTTGATTCTTAGACTTTAGAAAAATCTCAAGGTTCTTTATGAGTTTCATAGCCAAGTCAGAATTTCCTGAAATTGAGTAAGGCACAGTGGTTTGACCATATTGACTCAAATCCATTTTCCTGGCAGGTACATCACCATGACCTAAATCCAGACTTATTAAGAGATACGTAGTGACAACTGAAATTACTATTATCTGTAGCAACAGCAACTTCCAGTTCCGCAAACTGAATAGTGCCCTTTTTATAAACATGGAACAAAATTGCTGGAAGTAAAGTGGAAACTAAAAGAGAGGGAAACAACATTACAGTAGTTAGTGACCCAAGTAGGATATTCATGCTGAAGCCTATTAATATAAATCCTTAAAAATAACATGGTGAAAATATACACATATAAAACAAATGTATGCTTTGAAATGAGCCCAAGAAAATAACAGTTTTTTTTGACAGGCGGAGTTAGACAGTGAGAGAGAGACAGACAGAAAGGTCTTCCTTCCGTTGTTTCACTCCCCAAATGGCTGCTACGGCCGGCGCTCTGTGCCGATCCGAAGCCAGGAGCCAGGTGCCTCCTCCTGGTCTCCTATGCGGGTGCAGGCCCCAAGCACTTGGGCCATCCTCCACTGCCTTCCCAGGCCACAGCAGAGAGCTGGACTGGAAGAGGAGCAACCGGGACAGAATCCGGGGCTCGAGCTGGGACTAGAACCTGGGGTGCCGGTGCCGCAGGCGGAGGATTAGCCTAGTGAGCCATGGCGCTGGCCAACAATTTTTAAAGTATTTTATTTGAAAGGAGTAATTACAGTAATACATTTATATATATCTTTTTCAAAAAAGATTTATTTATTTATTTGAAAGACATAGTTACAGAGAGGCAGAGGCAGAGGCGCAGAGAGAGAAAGAGAGAGAGATCAATCTTCCATCTACTGGTTCACTCCCAACATGGCCATAATGGCTGGAGCTAAGCCAATCTGAAGCCAGGAGCCAGGATCTTCATCTGGGTCTCCCATGTGTGTGCAGGGATACAAGCACTTTGACCATCTTTTACTGCTTTCCCAGGTGCATTAGCAGGGAGCTGGATCATAATTGGAGCAGTCAGGACTCAAACTGGTGCCCGTACTGGATGCTGGCACTGCAGGTGGCAGCTTAACCTCTTATGCCAAAACATCAGCCTCTTAACAAAATATTTTATTTGTTTAAGGTATTAAGTAAAAGGGTTAAGACCTGGCTTCTGATATAATTCTACTGAAAATCTTAAGAAAATGATTTTCTTCATTAAAATATTATGGTATTCCTGATTAGAAAATCAAAATTACATCTATTATTTAGTATTAAAACAGAATCTTTCTATTTTCTCTGCCTTATGAGGAAAACATCTTATATAAATATGTTTTGCGTTGTTACTCTAGTTTATATAAAGTGAGCAAATGTCCTTACTTTGATCAACAAATGTCTTCTGAGTACAATACTCATAACTATTGGTCTTGTCAGAACTGAACATAAAGTAAATTTATAAGGAGAACCTTCAAAGTTATTCTGAGAAGTGACAATAACGAGAGTACACATTGAATTAAGACTTCAATTAACAATTAAATTAACTAAACTAAATTTTAAAAAATGAGAGTAGCTACTGTGATCTTTATCTAGAATCTATTTCTCCTGTATCAGGTTAATAGAGTTATAGTACTAACCAGTCCATCTGGTTAGCTAAACTTCAAAGATTTTTTAAGACTTAGACATAAACATGTGAACATCTTATACCCCAATCAAACACATTAGGTTTATGATTCTAGTGAATATGCTTACCCCAGTATTAAATTTAATGTTAGCAATTTCATTCAAACTGGAAGAAAGTGGTCTCTCATAATCTATTGGCATATCCATACTCTGCTTCTTGTCTCGTTTTATGTTTTGGGTTTTCAAATAAGGGGAGTGGATAGCATGAATATTCCATTCGGATGCTGCCAGTTTATTGGCCCTGTACACACACACATGTACACAAAAAAGCAGAAAGCAGTTTGTTTTAACCATATCCTCAAACTATTTCTTGAAGATTGTTGAGATTTCATATTTGGAAGACTAATGCATCTTTCTCATTGGACAGAAAAGCACTGTATAGAAGCAGTCTGGTAACAGTAGTTCTCAAGAAACAAGTCTGAGAAGTACTGCCAATCAGTGGTAAGGTTTCTATCACTGCAATGCAGCATGAGAAAACAATGATAATATATGGTGTTTCATTAACCTGAACTTACTCAAGTTAAATGATTCTCATTTAATTAAAGATAACCTTCTTTTTTGGGAGATAACATGTTTTTCTTATTTTATAAAATGATGAGAACAATGGAATAGTAAATTTAAAAAAAAAGGGTCTTCACATCTTCCATTACTGCCTGCATTTGAGGCTGGATCTTTGAGTGTGGATATTTGAGAATGAATAGATATACATAATTCATTACAATCTAAGGAGAGAAATGCTGAGTACAATATTAGAAGAAAAAAGATGACAATATAGTGGGAGAGTGGAAAAATTAATTTTATCAGTAGAAGTGGAAAAACACTTGGTGGAAAATACAGTTATTTAAAAGGTATATTCTAAAACACAGAGATATCAAAATCATTTAAACACTTTCCTGATGGTAGTTATATGGAATACAACATGAGTTATCTTTTGGCTATAATGGATAATATTGCTATGAATATGTATGTACAAATATCTCTTTTGACAACCTGCTTTTACTTATTAAAAAATTTAACCAAGGACATCAAAGATCACGATGGTAAAAATTACAAGACATTAAAGAAAGAAGTAGAAGACACACAAAAAAATGGAAAAATCTTCCATGTTCATGGATTGCAAGAATCAATATTATCAAGATGTCATACTACCAAAAGCAATTTACAGATTCAATGAGATCCCAATCAAAATATCAACAATATTCTTCTCAGATCTAGAAAAAACTATGCTGAAATATGGAAATACAGGAGACTCCAAATAGCTAAAGTAATCTTATTCAACAAAAACAAAGCTGGAGGCATCACAATACCAGATTTCAAGACATATACAACAGGGCAGTTATCATTAAAACAGCCTGGTACTGGCACAAAAACAGATGGGTAGACCAATGGAACAGAATATAAACTCCAGAAATCAGTCCACACATCTACAACCAACTTATCTTTGACAAAAGAGCCAAATCAACCCCTGAAGCAAGCACAGTCTCTTCAGCAAATGTTTCTGGGAAAACTGGATCTCTGCATGCAGAAGTATGAAGCAAGACCCCTACCTTACAGCTTTCACAAAAGTCCACTCCAAATGGATGAAAGACCTAAATCTAAGACCTGATACCATCAAATTATTAGAGAACATTGGGAAAACCTGATAAGACACTGGCATAGGCAGAGACTTCTTGGAAAAGACCCCAGAAGCACAAGCAATCAAAGTCAAAACTGAGAAATGGGATTACACCAAATTGAGAAGCTTCTGTATTGCAAAAAGAAACACTCAGCAAAGTGAAGTGGCAACCAACAGAATGGGAGAAAATATTTACAAACTATGCAACTGATAAAGGATTAATATCCAGAATCTATAAAGGGTTTGAGAAACTCAACAACAAAACAGTTAAAAAGTAGGCAAAGAACTTGAACAGGCATTTTTCTTTTTCAGCTTTTTAAAAAAAATTTATTTGAAAGGCAGAGCTACAGAAAGGCAGAGGTAGAGACAGACAGGGAGGTCTTCCATCCACTGGTTCACTCCCCAAATGGCTGCAGTGGCTGGAGTTGGGCCGATCTGAAACCAAGTCTAATTCCAGATCTCCCACATAGGTGCAATGGCCCACATCGGGCCATCTTTCACTGCTTTCCCAGGCATATTAGCAGGGAGCTGTCTAGAAGGTGGAGCAGCCAGGATATGAACTGGTGCCCATATGAGAGGCTGGCAATACAGGTGGTGGCTTTACCTTCTGTACCATAGCACCTGCCCAAAAAGGCATTTTTCAAAAGAGGAAATCCAAATGGCCAACAGAAACTTGAGAAAAAGCACAGGATCACCAGTCATCAGGAAAATACAAATCAAAACCACAATGAGGTTTCACCTCACCCCAGTTAGAATGGCTTTCATACAGAAATCAACAAACAACAAATGCTGGCAAGGATGTTGGGAAAAGGCTTCCCTAATCTGTTGGTGGAAATGTAATCTGGTAGTCACTGTGGAAGATAGTATGGGGATACCTCAGAAATCTGAACATAGACCTGCCATATGACCCAGCCATCCCACTCCTGGGAATTTATCCAAGGGAAATGAAATTAGCATATTAAAGAGTTATCTGGGGCTGGTGCTGTGGCATGGCGGATAAAGCCGCCACCTGCAGTGCTGACATCCCATATGGGTGCCGGTTGGAGTCCCAGCAGCTCCACTTCTGATCTGGCTCTACTGCTATGGCCTGGGAAAATAGTGTAAGATAGCCCAAGTCCTTGGGCCCCTGCACCCTCGTGGGATACCCAGAAGAGGCTCCTGGCTCCTGGCTTTGGATCGGCGCAGCTCCGGCCATTGTGGCCATGTGGGGAGTGAACCAGCGGATGGAAGACCTCTCTCTCTGCCTCTCCTTCTTTCTCTGTGTAACTCTTTCAAGTAAATAAATAAATATTTTTAAAAAAGAGTTATCTGTACCCCCATGTTTAATGCAGCTCAATTTACAATAGCTAAGATATGAAATAAACCTAGATGTCCATCAACTGAAGACTGGATAAAGAAATTATGGGACATGTACATCGTGGAATACTACACAACGGAAAAAGAAAAATGAAATCTGGTCATTTACAACAAAATGGATGCAACAGGAAAACATTATACTTAGTGAAATAAGTCAGTCCCCAAGAGACAAACACCATACGTTCTCCCTGATCTGCGGCAACTAATAGAGTACCTAAAAAGTAATCTATAGAAGTAAAATTGACACTTCAAGATGTGATAATTTTGAACAGCCTTTGTCGTGACTGTTGAGAACAGTTTTTTTATAACATTCATTGAAATCTTTGCTTATAGTGTTAATTTTTAATTTTATTTATTTTTAACTTTTATTTAATAAATATAAATTTCCAAAGTACAACTTTTTGATTATAGCAGCTACTTCCCTCCATAACCACCCTCCCACCCGCAACCATCCCATCTCCCACTCCTTCTCCCATCCCATTCTTCATCAAGATTCATTTTTAATTATCTTTATATATAGAAGATCAACTTAGTATATACTAAGTAAATATTTCAACAGTTTGCACCCACACAGAAACACAAAGTATAAAGTACTGTTTGAGTACTAGTTATACCGTTGATTAACATAGTACCACACATTAAGGACAGAGATCCTACATGGGGAGTAAGTGCACAGTGACTCCTGCTGTTGATTTAACAATTGACACTCTTATTTATTTATTTATTTTTTTATTTTTTTATTTATTTTTTTATTTTTTTTTTAATCTTTTATTTAATGAATATAAATTTCCAAAGTACGACTCATGTGTTACAATGGCTTCCCCCCCATACCGTCCCTCCCACCCACAACCCTCCCCTTTCCCACTCCCTCTCCCCTTCCATTCACATCAAGATTCATTTTCGATTATCTTAATATACAGAAGATCAGCTTAGTATACCTTAAGTAAGTATTTCAACAGTTTGCTCCCACACAGAAACATAAAGTGAAAAATAATAGATGATTTTTTTTAAATGATGATGAAATCAGATCAGACCTATTGTCATGTTTAATCCCGACACTCTTATTTATGACATCAGTAATCATCCTAGGCTCTTTTCATGAGCTGCCAAGGCTATGAAAGCCTCTTGAGTTTGCCAACTCTGATCTTATTTAGACAAGGCCATAGTCAAAGTGGAAGTTCTCTTCTCCCTTCAGAGAAAGGTGCTTCCTTCTTTGATGGCCCATTCTTTCCACTGGGATCTCACTCACAGAGATCTTTCATTTAGATTTTTTTTTTTTTTTGCCACAGTGTCTTGGCTTCCCATGCCTGAAATACTCTCATGGGCTTTTCAGCCAGATCCAAATGCCTTAAGGGCTGATTCTGAGGCCAGAGTGCTGTTTAGGACATCTGCCATTCTATGAGTCTGCTGTGTATCCCGCTTCCCATGTTGGATTGTTCTCTCCTTCTTAATTCTATCAGTTATTATTAGCAGACACTAGTCTTATTTATGTGATCCCTTTGACTCTTAATCCTATCATTATGATCAATTGTGAGCAGAAATTGATCACTTGGACTAGTGAGATGGCATTGGTACATGCCATCTTGATGGGATTGAATTGGAATCCCCTGGCACGTCTCTAACTCTACCATTAGAGGTAAGTCCGAGTGAGCATGTGCTGAACTGTGCATCTCCTCCATCTCTTATTCTCACTCTCTCTATTTTTTTTGACAGGCAGAGTGACAGTGAGAGAGAGAGACAGAGAGAAAGGTCTTCCTTTGCTGTTGGTTCACCCTACAATGGCTGCCGTGGCTGGTGCGCTGCGGCCGGCACACCGTGCTGATCCGAAGCCAGGAGCCAGGTGCTTCTCCTGGTCTCCCATGCGGGTGCAGGGCCCAAGGACTTGGGCCATTCTCCACTGCACTCCCGGGCCACAGCAGAGAGCTGGCCTGGAAGAGGAGCAACTGGGACAGAATCCGGCACCCTGACTGGGACTAGAACCTGGGGTGCCAGCGCTGCAGGCGGAGGATTAGCCTATTGAGCCATGGTGTTGGCCCCCACTCTATATTTAATAGGGATCATTTTTCAGTTAAATTTAAACACCTAAGAATAATTGTGTGTTAATTACAGAGTTCAACCAATGGTATTAAGTAGAACAAAAAAATACTAAAAGGAATAAAGTAGTAAGTTGTTCCTCAACAGTCAGGACAAGGGCTGATCAAGTCATTGATTCTCATAGTGTCCATTTCACTTCAACAGGTTTCCTTTTTGGTGCTTGGTTAGTTGTCACC